ATGTGAGGAAACCAACGCTGTGGAAAGCTCAATAAAATTTAACTTTTTGGTGATCTCGCTTCTTAGGTTAAAAATAATAATAATAATAATAATAAATAAAATTTGTTATTTTCAAAATAATTTATACATGGAAAGTAAAAATGAATTTCATCAAGTAATATTACCCAAACAACTGGTCGAGTTAATTAAGGGTTATGTCACTATGATAGAAAGTGGTTAACAGATGGAGTGACATAATAATAGTTGGCAAGATGTGATTTGACGAAAAAGTTAATTGTGTTTAAAACAGTTCAATGATGAAGTGTCATATGATATTATATAAATCATTATGTCAATGATTATATCGCTCTAACATGATTCATGTTTTAAGAATCTTTTAGAACGTTGATCCAGAAAAGTTCAAGAGTAAAAAAATTACATGGATCAAACATGTGATCAAAAATTAAACAAATAGATGAGAATGGAAACTTCCAATGTAAATGATTGAAACTTAGGCCCCGTTTGGAAGAGATTTTTAAGAATTGATTTTTTGACCGTTAGGAAAAAAGTGGGAGCCACTTGTGAAAGAAAAAGTCAATCTTTACGGTTAAAATAGTAAAATAAAAGTCAAAAATCAAATTTTTGAAGTGAAAAATCACTCACAAACACCCTCTTATTTTTATGATTATCAATTTTTTGAGTTTTACTCTATAAACTCAGCTAAATGATCGAATAACTTCTTAACAATATTTTTAAAAACAAGTTTAGTGAAAGAAGCAAGTACGTAAATATAGGGTTTTGCTAGATGAACATGGCCTATGTGGCCCTATTCAAACAGCTTAATCCGTGAATATATATCCCAGCTTAAGTGCACAATTGTTTGATACATTAAATAATAAAAAAAAAAATTATTGTCTCGAAGAGTACTATTTAATGAAAATAAACTACATCATCTATGATTATGTTAACTTCACTCCTGCTATATGTACGTTACAAGTTACATTGTGATTGACACTCTTTCACATAACATGATCTACATAATAATTTTTCACCTACTTCTCTCAATTAAGGGAAATACTGGTTGTATATGCCAAACACATACAAGTGGATGGGTGAATTTTTATTTATTTTTTCAATAATCACCCACTCCGTCATCCCACTCATCTCGGATGTGTCTGACCTCCTGTACAACTAGCATTTTCCCTCTATTAATGCACGGATTCCCCAATATAGGGAAAATGTAATACTAGATGAACCCCTTCTAGCATTATTCTGTCAAGTCTGGGGATTCTGAAAATGTCAACAATAGGGATTAGTAGGTTTAGATCTTGAATCTTAATTATTTCAAATAATTGGACGTTTGCATAATTTTTATTCTTTTGTTAGGATAATAATGCTAGAAGCTGACTTGTTAGCTAATTATGACAATTTCTTGTGATCCATTCTATCTGTCAAGTCTTCGGCTAAGCTTAAAAGTGACGAAAAGGAAACTTTTTTAAAATACATTTAGCCCTTATTCTCATTATTTTCAAATTTCATTTTTCTTTTTCTTCTTTTTAACTATACATTCTTCAAAATATATATATATATATTACACACAACTCAATTTTTATTTTTATTTTTATTTTTAACCACATTCTCTATCAATTTACTATTACAAAATATATTCTTAATAAAAAATGGAGCTCAAACATGTGCTTAAACTTTGTTAAAATTGATTTTTATTTTTGAATTTTGAATTTTTTTTAGTATAGAAACTTCTAAAAAAATACTTTTGAATTTAAAAAAAAAAACTCTTCCTCCAGTTTTTTTTTTAAATAAAAATAAAAATCTAGAAATGTAACATGTATGCATGTGTGTGTTCAAATTTCATTTAACCAGAAATTAATAACTACATAAATTTCATTAAATTAGTATTTTAAAATTTTCATATCAGTGGAAAACTATTGCATATAAAGTTTCTTAACAGTCACCCCAAAACGTGCTAAGTACTGTATAATTAAGTTCATTAATTATACTATACTCATATTTGGTGAAAATTAAATTTTAGATTTTAATTTAATTCAAAGTCAACAATTAATTTTAATCACATATTTCAAGGATTCACAATTTTTCAACCTTATATTTTATTAACTTTTATCACAATCTAATTTTAATTCCCACCAAATAATGGCATATATAAATCAATGAACTGTATTAGAATGTTATAAATAAAGAAACATACTTACGGCTCATTGGCATGAATTTTATAAATTCAAAAGCTGCTTTTCAATATATTTGGATAATTTTTTGAAATTACTTTAAACTAAAAGAATAGCTTCCTCAAAAACTCTCCCATAAAGTGTAGCAGCAAAAATAGAAACTCATCAGTCATCCTTTAACATATATCAACTTCTGTGAGGACTCTGGCACATGACTTGCTGTGCACTTCAAAAATGGTTAAAACTTGTAGATAAGGTAAAATATGTTAATCATTTGAGTAGATAATCCATATTAATTATCTGTTTGGTTGAATTTAAAATTTTAGAATCGGCAAGATGGAAGGCCTGTTGATATGATTTTCAACCCATTAGGAGATGTTGAAGCTGTATAAATTATTTGCATTGTGCCTACTATCATCAATCAATATATTACCAATTGGGTTTTTTTCTAATCGGAGCCTGGATACTTCATTTTTTAGTGTTGGTTAACTGTATTTTGAAATACAGAAAAAAAAAATCAGAAAACAAGAGGGTGGGTTAATTTCGATTTTTATGCAGAGGAAATAAATGCATTTCCATATATAAAAAAAGAAAAGAAAAAATATAGGCTAGGCATAAGAAGTCTCTATCAACAAGATAAAAGAGTGAATTCTTCCTCAATGAAAAATTCGAGAAAAAAAAAAAAAAAATTCTCATGATTTCTGAACACTCAAGAAATCCGTTGGGCAGGCGGATTCACAGTATCTCACGGGTGGATTTAAAAACCTCGCAAATTGTAGGAAACTACGGATTCATTTTGAATAATAGGTATCTTTTATATTCAGCTATAACAATGATCATATTTGATCAAATACCTAGCGACAAACTCCTATCAAATTTCTACCAAGATAATGAACCTTCACGCTATTTAGCACGAGATTTTGAGTCTCGCATGTCTACCATTAAAGTCAATAATTAATTATAATTACACATTTTGTGAAATTCATTACTTTTCTACCATATATTTTATTAACTTTTATCAAAATTTATTAAAAAACTGATTTTTATATAAATGGGGCTAAATTACATTCTATATAGCTTTACGTAGAAGGTCGAACAAGTTACAAAATGTTGCATTAAATTATAATTTAGGTTTAATCAATTACAAGGGAAGGTAAGAATAACGTGTATTAGGTGATCAATTGCTGTGAATGAGATTTTACATCATGAATTGACACTGCAACTGCCCTCCACCTTCCTATTATATGTCACAACATTTAGCCCCAGTTTGATGGGAGAAATTTCGATGGTGCGATCGTCTAATGTCGAGGTGTCATCTCGATGGGTACAACTACCCTACTGAAGTTTCTCTTTAGTTTGATGGGCATTATTTGACAAAAACAAAGTTTTGAATATAGTGAATTTTTTGAGAATTTGTAATTAAAAATAGTGAAATATTTTAAATTTATGTGAAGAATATTTAATTGTGTGAATATATGATTGAAAATGAGTATGTAAAATAAAGAGTTTTGAAATAATAATTGTCAAACATGGGATTAATTAATCTTAGGGGGCAATGGAAGAGGATTTTATTTATTTATTTTTTTAACTTTTAATTATTATATGAGAGTTTCATGATAAAGCTATTTTAGGGCCACTTGATAGAACTTTTGAAAAGTTTAAATCTACTCTAAAATTAAACATTTATTCCTAAATATATTTAAATAATTTTATAAAAGCCATTTGTCTAGTTTAGAAGAGCTTTTAAAGAAAAATGACATAAACTAACTTTTTTGCAATAAGTAAAAGTAGAAGTAGAAGTAGAAGTAGAAGTCTTGTTACTTTATCTAAAACTTTTCTAGCCAAACAAAATATTTTGAAAAAGTTATTCAAATATGTTCAAAAATATTTTGACATGACTTTTGCTTTCTATATAATAGCTTTCTTTAATTTTTATTTGAATCAATTTGTAAAAGAACTTTTTATTCTTGAAGTGCTTTTAGAAGAATTCATAATTGACCAAATTTCTCTTAAAAAACTCTTTAAACTAGAAAAAACAATTTCATTAAATTAATCAAAACTGGTCCTTAAACAATTCCTAAAGTGCCATTTTACATGGCTTTTGCTGTCCATATAAGAGTTTCCTTTAATTTTTATTTGAAAATTAATTTGTAAAAGAATTTTTTTACTCTCGAAATGCTTTTAGAAGAAGTGATATTTGGCCGGCTTTCTCGAAAAAAAAAAAAAAAAACACTCTTCTAATCACTTTCATAAAATTAATCAAAATGGGTCCTAAAATAATTTTTAAATCTTAAAAGTTCATTTTAACTTTTCAAAAGTCATATCAAACGGACTCTTAGTTTAAAAAACAAATTTTCACTTTTTGAAAACGGCGCAGTTTATTCTTAAATAGAAATATTATATATTGAAGTTTATTTCTATTTGGCCAGGCTCATCCAATAGGGGGCCGCCACATAGACACCCTATTTTTTGTCTTGGCTTTGAGTCTGGTCAAACAGATTTTTCTTTATTTTTAATTGATATTCTAACAAACACTCTTCTTACATTCTCCATGTGTGTCGGTCATCCATTATTCTCCACGCTACCTATCAACTGTCCAAGCTCATCCAATGGGGGCCGCCACATAGGCCACCTCTTTGTTGCCTTGGCTTTGAGATTGGTCAAATAGATTTTTCTTTATTTTTAATTGATATTCTAACAAACGCTCTTCTTGAATTCTCATGTGTGTCGGTCATCCATTATTCTTCACGCTACGTATCAACTGCCAATAATTGGTGATGTATCATTACACATCTAATCAACAATATTATTCAAGAGAAAAAAGGTAACATCGAAGAGAAAAATTAAGTAAATAAACTTGTGTTATCACGACACACGAGTATCATTCTTTTTCCGAGCTCTTGAGATCTATCCCGAATAAATGTCTCAATCAACAAACGCAGGAGAATAGGATGTATGAAACAATTATGGGCCAGCATTAATTGAAATAATGCGACACTTCGAAAACTTTAAAAATGACGGATCATTCATGGACTGAGACTGATACTTTTTCCATTTTGATGATTTTCTCTATACTTTTAATTGTATATGATTAGTAGAAATTGGGTCTCGCTTTGACTCATTAGTCATTATTCGAAAACTTTTTTTTTTATAATTTATTTTCAATCAAATTATTTTCATAAAATAATTTTACATGTAAAGCAAAAATTCTATTTACTTTTCAACGATTCATTCTTAATAATAAGGGCAACTCCAACCTTTACATCAAACCCCCGTTTTTCCCAATTTTGCAATAAATATTTGGTGTAATCTCACTCCAACCCAACATCAAATTTTGCACCATTTTGGTGTGGTGCAACCCTATTCATTTACATCATGTTGCACCCAAATGGCTAATGTCATTTTTGCCCTTCTTCTCCGTTTTGTCTCAACTTTTGTTAAGGGTATTTGCATCACTTTCTTGTTATACAACAAATTTAATTCATAATTAATTATTATGACAATTATAATTATTATTTTTAATACTAATCATATGGTTGTTATTATTATTATTGTCGTTGTTGTTATTATTATTTAATATTTTCTTAATATACTTTCTATTTTGGTAAGTGAAGAAAATGCAATAACTCCTGACTGCCACTTCCAACGCCCAAAAGAAATATATATACACATCGAGCACGGATGCCAGCAAAATGATTGCACCATTACACCGATAATTAATAATAATTATAAAGAACCAACACTGATATTTATGAACTGGGAACACAATGTAATATATTCTTCTCACTATTGTGCTAGTTGAAGTTAACCACGCAATATGTCGTGGTATCAATTTAACACCGTCAATAGCATGAAGCAAAGATTCTTGATACATAGGCTTAAGTTTCTTAACGGAATTGCCAGTTCGGTCGAAAGAAAATAGAATCAAACCTTAGTTTGAAGATGAAATTGATTGCTTGAAGCTTTTCTTCAAGGGTTAATTACAAGAGGACGGAGAAGCTACACGTTTTTGAGGATGCAATATTTAAACCTCACGTTGCTTATATAACAGATAAAGAAACCACAAAAGTTAAGATTGAGGCTAGACTTACCATATGCCTAATAGCCATATCCAGAGATTTCTTTGATATATTCCGGCCAAACCCTGTGCTCTCTGTGGATGTCTTCAAAGGTTTCCGGGTTGAAAGCTCTCTGCGAGTGTCAACTGCATCACTTAGCTGCCCATTGGCAGGCATCCGACCCCTTCCAATGGGTTCTGTATGTCTTCCCCTCGTAACCACGGGTGATTGTTGTCTCCTAAGTGAAGTTGAAGCACTTGTGGACTCCACATTCCCTTTTACAGTGAGGCCCAGACCAGGCCTGGACCTACCAGCAGATAGTGGCCTGTCTGGTAAAGTTGTCAGCAAGTTTGGTGGCGTTTCAAGTGAAAAATCTGGGAGGACAATAGGCTGTGGAGGGGCGCGAACACGTGGAATAGGGGAACTTGGACGGGACACTGAAGCAACATTGCGTCCGTTTGGGATAGCACGCCCAATTGAGGCTAAAGGTCCAGAGGCTGGAGATATAGATGGTGCTGGGCTCCGACGAGTTGGTGTTGATGGCCTTGATGTGGACCGAGCTGCAGGGGAATTCAAATTTGCTGGGACTTGTGGCCTAGAAGTCGGAGTAGAAGGTCGTGAGCTTATGGATGGTCTTGGTTTATCAGAGGAAGATGTGCTGGGGGAAGCACGAGGTTTAGAAGGAGTTGAAGGTCTTGAGGCTGTTGAACGGGCAGTAGGCGTCGACGGTCTTGTAATTGATGAATTGCGGCTGGTAGGAGTAGATGGTCTAATATAAGATGAGACCGAAGCAGAGCTTGTGTTAAGAATGGAGGTTGATTTGTTTGAGTTCATAGTAAAATGGGAACTTGTGACAGAAGGACGAGTCACCGAACTGCTGCGAGTTGGTCTTTTAGGATGGTTGCTCTCTGACTGAGAAACTGAAAGCTGAAATTGGAAACCCATATACTTAAAAATTATACGCATTAAGGCATTTGAAAGTAACTTCTCTTATTATGGATTCCTTTGTTTCAGGCAAACCAAACAGGAACAATATATCAGACCATTTATCATTACAGGTTACAATTACACAGATACAATTAAACGAACAACATAAAGATTTGCCTTACTTTATCCCAGAACTTACAAGAAATAAAGGGCAAATTCTCTAGGAAGATCTACTGGTCAGCAATAGAAAATAGGTTGACATACCCTTGAGCCTCTGTTCGTAGAGGTCGATCTAACCCTTGAACTGCCTCTTGGAGCCACAGAAGCTTGTTGTGATTCGTTTCCATCCATTGAAGGAACAATAGGAGTTCCAGGAGGAGTGAGAAGCCTAGAACAAGTAATGGTTGAAATTTTTTAGGTCATCTATCAGCTTCGGTTCTTTCTTGGAACAATTAACTTTCTTTAACACAAATTCATGTGGCTCTAAAAGGGAAGTGAATTTTATGATTGACCTCATGTATAACTAAATCCTTAGCTAGATTACCATAACATACAGAACTTTATTGGCGATTTGTCATTCCTTGACAAAGTTTTTAAGTATTTACTTTTAGGCTTTTTGAACAATAAAAAATCTGTAATAGTGATGACATAAGAAATAACAATAGCCCAGAAATAGAATTTAAGCAATTATTGCGGAGCAGGCATTCAAGCGAAAAATAGATCCTATAAATGAAAATTCACATAAGACGGATGAACAATTGCAGGATTACCAATCATAATCATGCTTTCCGCCACCATCCGTTGATGACAATAGATCATCCAATCCACTCTTCCCCTGTTTCGCTGATCCAACTGAGAGTCTCCCAAGTTTCACTGATGCTAAACTTGGAAGGCATCCCAAAATTATTAATTTGTTAAAAATAAATAAATGATCAGAATAGAAGAGGAAAGAATGGAATTTTTTCCTGAAGAATAACTAAAACGGATAAATATCATCAATAAATTAAATTTAATGAATAAAAACTGCTTTATACTGTTTAGGCATTAGTTTGATTAGTGCAAACCAAATTACTTCATTACGGTGTCATTTTGTGTATACTTACTATAATTAGATACAATAGCTACGCAGAAAAATACTGTCCTTTTCGCACTGATTTGATTTCGATCAACGCTAGAACATTTACCTTTCGCTACATTACTGAATTTTTACAGATCTCAGGTAATAAACAACAAAATTAGATTGATACGCAACTCATAGATAATGAAAAAATGACGCGATACCATCGGAATTATCGGAGGCGGCAAGAGGCAGACTGTGACGATTTTTGGAGAAGAGATCCAAGTTATTGTTGGCGGAGTTCTTAAAGTTGGAGAGTCCGTTGAGGCTGAGACCTCGACGATGCTGAGACAACGGCGCTAGAGGAAAATTCCGGCTGTCGCCGATCGCAGATTCCCTAAAGCTCCGATTCATCTTCAGTTGTATATTTACGAGAATCACAATGCAAATATCAGCTTCACTTCTCCATTATCGTTAAACTACTGCAATAGAATACCGCGCTAGAAGTGGCAAGCAATGGATTATCAGAGAAACTCAATGGAAATGCAAATGGATTCACGGATGCAAATTATACGCCATGAAATCATGACTGTGTGACTGTGTGTGTGGATTGGATCTGTATGTATTGAATGAATGAGTGAGTTGTATGTATCATAAAGAAAGTTGTGCAGTGTCTAGACGGGCAGAAGCATGTGAGGAAACCAACGCTGTGGAAAGCTCAATAAAATTTAACTTTTTGGTGATCTCGCTTCTTAGGTTAAAAATAATAATAAATAAAATTTGTTATTTTCAAAATAATTTATACATGGAAAGTAAAAATGAATTTCATCAAGTAATATTACCCAAACAACTAGTCGAGTTAATTAAGGGTTATGTCACTATGATAGAAAGTGGTTAACAAATGGAGTGACATAATAATAGTTGGCAAGATGTGATTTGACGAAAAAGTTAATTGTGTTTAAAACAGTTCAATGATGAAGTGTCATATGATATTATATAAATCATTATGTCAATGATTATATCGCTCTAACATGATTCATGTTTTAAGAATCTTTTAGAACGTTGATCCAGAAAAGTTCAAGAGTAAAAAAATTACATGGATCAAACATGTGATCAAAAATTAAACAAATAGATGAGAATGGAAACTTCCAATGTAAATGATTGAAACTTAGGCCCCGTTTGGAAGAGATTTTTAAGAATTGATTTTTTGACCGTTAGGAAAAAAGTGGGAGCCACTTGTGAAAGAAAAAGTCAATCTTTACGGTTAAAATAGTAAAATAAAAGTCAAAAATCAAATTTTTGAAGTGAAAAATCACTCACAAACACCCTCTTATTTTTATGATTATCAATTTTTTGAGTTTTACTCTATAAACTCAGCTAAATGATCGAATAACTTCTTAACAATATTTTTAAAAACAAGTTTAGTGAAAGAAGCAAGTACGTGAATATAGGGTTTTGCTAGATGAACATGGCCTATGTGGCCCTATTCAAACAGCTTAATCCGTGAATATATATCCCAACTTAAGTGCACAATTGTTTGATACGTTAAATAATAAAAAAAAAATTATTGTCTCGAAGAGTACTATTTAATGAAAATAAACTACATCATCTATGATTATGTTAACTTCACTCCTGCTATATGTACATTACAAGTTACATTGTGATTGACACTCTTTCACATGACATGATCTACATAATAATTTTTCACCTACTTCTCTCAATTAAGGGAAATACTGGTTGTATATGCCAAACACATACAAGTGGATGGGTGAACTTTTATTTATTTTTTCAATAATCACCCACTCCGTCATCCCACTCATCTCGGATGTGTCTGACCTCCTGTACAACTAGCATTTTCCCTCTATTAATGCACGGATTCCCCAATATAGGGGAAATGTAATGCTAGATGAACCCCTTCTGGCATTATTCTGTCAAATCTGGGGATCCTAAAAATGTCAACAGTAGGGATTAGTAGGTTTAGATCTTGAATCTTAATTATTTCAAATAATTGGACGTTTGCATAATTTTTATTCATTTGTTAGGATAATAACGCTAGAAGCTGACTTGTTAGCTAATTATGACAATTTCTTGTGATCCATTCTATCTGTCAAGTCTTCGGCTAAGCTTAAAAGTGACGAAAAGGAAACTTTTTTAAAATACATTTAGCCCTTATTCTCATTATTTTCAAATTTCATTTTTCTTTTTCTTCTTTTTTAACTATACATTCTTCAAAAAATATATATATATATATTACACACAACTCAATTTTTATTTTTAACCACATTCTCTATCAATTTACTATTACAAAATATATTCTTAATAAAAAATGGAGCTCAAACATGTGCTTAAACTTTGTTAAAATTGATTTTTATTTTTGATTTTTGAATTTTTTTTAGTATAGAAACTTCTAAAAAAATACTTTTGAATTTAAAAAAAAAAAAAACTCTTCCTCCAGTTTTTTTTTTTTAAATAAAAATAAAAATCTAGAAATGTAACATGTATGCATGTGTGTGTTCAAATTTCATTTAACCAGAAATTAATAACTACATAAATTTCATTAAATTAGTATTTTAAAATTTTCATATTAGTGGAAAACTATTGCATATAAAGTTTCTTAACAGTCACCCCAAAACGTGCTAAGTACTGTATAATTAAGTTCATTAATTATACTATACTCATATTTGGTGAAAATTAAATTTTAAATTTTAATTTAATTCAAAGTCAACAATTAATTTTAATCACATATTTCAAGAGTTCACAAATTTTCAACCCTATATTTTATTAACTTTTATCAAAATCTGATTTTAATTTCCATCAAATAATGTCATATATAAATACATTAACTGTATCAGAATGTTATAAATAAAGAAACACATTTACGGCTCATTGGCATGAATTTTATAAATTCAAAAGCTGCTTTTCAATATATTTAGATAATTTTTTGAAAATAGTTTAAACTAAAAGAATAGCTTCCTCAAAAACTCTCCCATAAAGTGTAGCAGCAAAAATAGAAACTCATCAGCCATCCCTTAACTTATAAGGTAAAATATGTTAATCATTTGAGTAGATAATCCATATTAATTATCTGTTTGGTTGAATTTAAAATTTTGGAATCGGCAAGATGGAAGGCCTGTTGATATGGTTTTCAACCCACTAGGAGATGTTGAAGCTGTATAAATTATTTGCATTGTGCCTACTATCATCAATCAATATATTACCAATTGGGTTTTTTCTAATCGGAGCCTGGATACTTCATTTTTTAGTGTTGGTTAACTGTATTTTGAAACACGGAAAAAAATCAGAAAACAAAAGGGAGGGTTAATTTCGATTTTTATGTAGAGGAAATAAATGATTTCCATATATAAAAAAAACGAAAAGAAAAAATATAGGCTAGGCATAAGAAGTCTCTATCAACAAGATAAAAGAGTGAATTCTTCCTCAATGAAAAATTCGAGAAAAAAATAAAAATTCTCATGAATTCTGAACGCTTAAGAAATCCGTTGGGCAAGCGGATTCACAGTATCTCACGGGTGGATTTAAAAAGCCTCTCAAATTGTAGGAAACTATGGATTCATTTTGAATAATAGGTATCTTTTACATTAAACTATAACAATGATCCTATTTGGTCAAAATTCCTAACGATAAACTCCTATCAAATTTCTACCAATATAATGAACCTCCACGCTCTTTAGCACGAGATTTTGAGTCTCACGTGTCTACCATTAAAGTCAATAATTAATTATAATTACACATTTTGTGAAATTCATCACTTTTTTACCATACATTTTATTAACTTTTATCAAAATTTATTAAAAAATTGATTTTTATATAAATGGGGCTAAATTACATTCTATATAGCTTTACGTAGAAGGTCGAACAAGTTACAAAATGTTGCATTAAATTATAATTTAGGTTTAATCAATTACAAGGTAAGGTAAGAATAACGTGTATTAGGTGATCAATTGCTGTGTATGAGATTTTACATCATGAATTGACACTGCAACTGCCTTCCACCTTCCTATTATATGTCACAACATTTAGCCCCAGTTTGATGGGAGAAACTTCGATGGTGCGATCGTCTAATGTCGAGGTGTCACCTCGACGGGTACGATCGCCCTACTGAAGTTTTTCTTTAGTTTGATGGGCATTATTTGATGAAAACAAAGTTTTGAATATAGTGAATTTTTTGAGAATTTGTAATTAAAAATAGTGAAATATTTTAAATTTACGTGTAGAATATTTAATTGTGTGAATATGTGATTGAAAATGAGTATGTAAAATAAAGAGTTTTGAAATAATAATTGTCAAACAGGGGATTAATTAATCTCAAGGGCAATGGAAGAGGATTTTTTTTTTTTTTTTTTTACTTTTAATTATTATATGAGAGTTTCATGAGAAAGCTATTTTAGAGCCACTTGATAGAACTTTTGAAAAGTTTAAATCTACTTAAAATTAAAAATTTATTCCTAAATATATTTAAATAATTTTATAAAAGCCATTTGTCTAGTTTAGAAGAGCTTTTAAAAAAAAATGACATAAACTAACTTTTTTGCAATAAGTAAAAGTAGAAGTAGAAGTAGAAGTCTTGTTACTTTATCTAAAACTTTTCTAGCCAAACAAAATATTTTGAAAAAGTTATTCAAATATGTTCAAAAATATTTTGACATGACTTTTGCTTTCTATATAATAGCTTGCTTTAATTTTTATTTGAATCAATTTGTAAAAGAACTTTTTATTCTTGAAGTGCTTTTAGAAGAATTCATATTTGACCAAATTTCTCTTAAAAAACTCTTTAAGCTAGAAAAAACAATTTCATAAAATTAATCAAAACTGGTCCTTAAACAATTCCTAAAGTGCTATTTTACATGGCTTTTGATGTCAATATAAGAGTTTCCTTTAATTTTTATTTGAAAATTAATTTGTAAAAGAATTTTTTTACTCTTGAAATGCTTTTAGAAGAAGTGATATTTGGCCAACTTTCTCAAAAAAAAAAAATAATAATAATAAAAATACACTCTTTTAATTAAAAGAAACACTTTCATAAAATTAATCAAAATGGGTCATAAAATAATTTTTAAATCTTAAAAGTTCATTTTAACTTTTCAAAGTCATATCAAACGGACTCTTAATCTAAAAAACAACTTTTCACTTTTTGAAAACGGCGCAGTGTATTCTTAAATAAAAATATTATATATTGAAGTTTATTTTTAGAGGCCTGCTGTTTGGCCAAGCTCATCCAATAGGGAGCCGCCACATAGGCATCCTATTTTTTGTCTTGGCTTTGAGTCTGGTCAAACAGATTTTTCTTTATTTTTTAATTGATATTCTAACAAACACTCTTCTTACATCCTCCATGTGTGTCGGTCATCCATTATTCTCCACGCTACCTATCAACTATCCAAGCTCATCCAATGGGGGCCGCCACATAGGCCGCCTATTTTTTGCCTTGGCTTTGAGTTTGGTCAAATAGATTTTTCTTTATTTTTAATTGATATTCTAACAAACGCTCTTCTTGAATTCTCATGTGTGTCGGTCATCCATTATTCTTCACGCTACCTATCAACCGCCAATAATTGGTGATGTATCATTACACATCTAATCAACAATATTATTCAAGAGAAAAAAGGTAACATCGAAGAGAAAAATTAAGTAAATAAACTTGTGTTATCACGACACATGAGTATCATTCTTTTTCCGAGCTCTTGAGATCTATACCGAATAAATGTCTCAATCAACAAACGCAGGAGAATAGGATGTATGAAACAATTATGGGCCAGCATTAATTGAAATAATGCGACACTTCGAAAACTTTAAAAATGACGGATCATTCATGGACTGAGACTGATACTTTTTCCATTTTGATGATTTTCTCTATACTTTTAATTGTATATGATTAGTAGAAATTGAGTCTCGATTGGACTCATTATTCGGAAAAAAAAATTTAATTTATTTTCAATTAAATTATTTTTTTAAAATGATTTTACATGTAAAACAAAAATTCTATTTACTTTTCAACGATACATTCTTAATAATAAGGACAACTCCAACCCTTACACCAAATCCCTATTTTTCCCAATTTCGCAATAAATATTTGGTGTAATCTCACTTCAACCCAACACCAGATTTTACACCATTTTGGTGTGGTGCAACACTATTCATTTACATCATGTTGCACCCAAATGGCTAATGTCATTTTTGCCCTTCTTCTCCGTTTTGTCTCAACTTTTGTTAAGGATATTTGTATCACTTTCTTGTTATACAACAAATTTAATTCATAATTAATTATTATGACAATTATAATTATTATTTTTAATACTAATCATATGGTTGTTATTATTATTATTATTGTCGTTGTTGTTATTATTATTTAATATTTTCTTAGTTGTGATTTTTCTATTAACAGTGCTACATTCATTAAATTTATTTATGAATTCAATATTCTCGTTAACGAACATAATTATCTATTTAATAATTTATGAAATAGTAGATTAAATAAATAAATATTTTTTCATATAAATAAATTATTAAGAATGAAAAAAATAATTATATACTGTTCATTTGGTGTAATGAGTTGAATATGATTTTAATTTGGTGAAACATTTTTGTGTAATATGGTGTAAAATTTATTTCAAAAAGAGAATAAGAAGGCAACCAAAAAAGTAAGAAAATAGGTATAACTATATGCAAACATTGAGAACCTTTGGTCCAAATGAGCGTGGAAAAAAATAAGTTATAAAGAGTGGAGGTCAAACTAGTCCAATTTATTCTAATAAAGACGTTCCTCAGTAATACCATCATGACTCTCGAAATCATGTGCGGTGCAATACCAAATCAAATACGGACCTATTATGGAACATACAATGCATTACAAACGTATGATCATTATGTTAATAGATAGGGCTGTGCAAATCTCCTGAATCAAATCGTGCAGTCCTTTTAAATTAAATACTTGAATGAGAATCTGAATTAAGAATCGACAAGTATGGTTCGATTTTCAATGAAGAATCGAAGAACCAAATCTCCCTATTTTTTAAAATTTATTTATTTTAAATAAGTCTAATTATTTTATTTTAAAATAAATTTTCTAACTAGTTAATTTAACTCAAATCCAAAAATATTATTTTCTTATTTCTAATTTTCAGTCCAAGTACAACTTAATCTAATTGACATAAGTTTTACCTAAACCTGTTATTTACCGTAGTGTCGTTTTTACCATTATAGATAAATCGAAGTGAAACTTGACAGCCCATTTCTTAATTATTGTAAGCTCAATATCTTTATTTTTCTGTGATTTTAATAATCAAATCTGTGAAAAACTCAACAAAGAGATATACAAAAGATATATAAGATTGGACTACGTTATTTTATAATAGCTAAGATTGATCATGTCATTAGTTGAATTAATGTAGCTTTTTTAAATATTAAAAAAATTAATTATAGTTTAGAACATATAAATCAAATGGAACCAAACCGAACCGAATTAAACTGAACTCGAATGGTTTCATAATTAAATTTGGACCTGACAATTTCACTTACTAAATACTCGAAAATTTCGGATTCAGTTCAATTCTCGTTAGAATCGAACCAAACTGGACCATGTTCACATCTAATAATAGATGTACTAAAAATTGAGGATAAGAATGGGACAAAAAAAAAAAACCAGAAAATAAGTGTGACAATAAGCAAACACTGAAAAACTTTAGTAAATTAAAAAGTTGTATAACAGAAAAAAGAAAAAAAGAAATGCGATAACAGTATAAGCTCACATAAGAATAAGAATAAGCGATGTTTCACTTATAAGAAACAAATAACAAAAATCCCAATGCATTTGAAAATAAAATATTTACTTAACATTTTCATGTGTAAAACTCAATTCATCTGATTACCATATGGATGAATCTAATCCAAGATATGAACTATTAACGAAAATGCATGTCTCAAGTTTTACGCTCAAAATTGTTAGTATAAATGAACTAGGGTTCTAAAAGAAAGTAAGCGTGACAATAAGCAAACGTTGAGAAACTTTAGTAAATTAAAAAGTTATACAACAAAAAAATAAAAATAAAAATAAAAATGCAATGACAATATAAGCTCACACATCAGAATAAGCGATGTTTCATTTATAAGTAAGAAACAAATAACAAATCCCAACTTATTTGAAATAAATATTTACTTAAAGTTTTAATGTCTAAAACTCAATTCATCTGATTACTATATGGATGAAACTGATCCAAAATATGAACTATAAAAGAAAATGCATATCTCAAGTTTCACTATCAAACTAATCCATTGACACAGATAATTCAAGGGAGAAAATTCGGTTAATCAAGTCCTAAAGGACAAATTGTTCGTGCAAATGATCGTGGGTTCTAAAAGGATAAATACTTTTTATCTTTGATCAAAGAGTACATTTGACTTTGGTTGGCCAAACATAGTTCTAATTAGTGGTCACACGCCAACGCACAATTGCTGGGCTCGCGTGTCGAGCCCATGGCTGGATGTGGTCAAGTTTTTCAGCCTGGCTCCGGGAAGGATAGCCATCCATTCCACTATTTTCCTATTCTCACTTACAACACATATCCATCTACTATTGTACATTGAACTTCAAACGTAGGAGTTTTACAACACTTCCTTACTCGTCTTTATTATATTATATATTATTAAATAGGAAAGGGACTCGAAATTAATAGAAGCCTTGAGGAGCCAAATATCCTTCGAATCCAACGGGATGTACGGCCTTCTAATGAGAATTGAGGTCCTTGAGTGAGCATACCCTCCCTAAGACTCGGACTCGATATTCTAAAGATATGACAAATAATGGTAATCGACGATAACTTTGACTCGTGTAAAAAAGCATGGCTTTCATGATTGTAGTAAAAGACATTGAAACATTATTAAAGGTGTTTTTCGCTCCAACTATCTATTGAAAGGTCCAATAAGATCTTGACATCATTATCCCAATTCCCAAGTATTCTCCGAGTGTTACGCATCTTTTGCTCCTACAATTCAAAATTTCTGATTCAAGATAGCAGGGTGAAATGGTGCAAGTCCAAGCTTCCGAGTCTCCATCATCATGTTATGCATTATGATGCAAATTCATCTTTCATGAAATGGAGCCCACTTCTGAATCTTCCTTTGAAGCAAAGATAGAGAAACTAACCTTTTTTTGCTATAGCTTTATAAAGTATTTTCGTGGGTTTGCCCTTAAAAATCTTGTTAGTCGTTCTATGTAGTGTTGTCTAACACAACGTAGAAATGTGTACAAAACCAATATTTTTTTACAATGATTGAGCAGTGCCCCAAGATGGTGCTATGACCTTATACAGAATCCAACTGGAATATGAAACATCGCAACTCCGGATTATGTCATAAAGATCTCGACCCATTAGTCGAAATTCACTTCATGAATCTCCAAGGTACATATGTTAACAATTTATCGACGTCTAGCTTAGGAAACAGAGTACCTCCTACTCCTGCCGGTTCTTCCTTCTGGTGCCCTCGACTTCCTCCCGGACTTTTGTTGCTTTCTGCCAGCTTGCCCTCCAAATATACCGATTCTTCCAAACCCCTTCGATATTGAAGTTAACAAAGTCCTTCCGTGGTTCGACTTATCCATCATCCCTTGTTTCATAACCACTTGTTCCTTCTCAAGATCACTAAGCCTTACTCGCATTCTTGATATCTCGAGCTTCAGTTCTCGATTTTCTCTCCTCAAAGAAGCATAAGTATCACGGGGCGACATGGCTGCACTCGGAACCCCGCTGCTAATTTTTTGTGATATTAATCCATCCCCAGAACTTCCCGACAAAGCATTCTTCAAACGAACCTGCTCGAAATAGAGAACTCGGACAATCATGTGGACTGGGAGCCGATCATTCTGTGCAGCGTGATTGCAGGCTTCTTTAGAGAGCTTTTGACAGTCTATGAACTTGCATAGCTTCTTACACTCGGGTTCATTCAGCACCGGATGAGCCTGATCAATCAGCCAAAGAACAACGTCATTGAATTGACAGATAATCTTGTGTGCTTAATGTGAAGTTTGAGAAATCAAAATCTACCTTCAAATAAATATCAATAGCTCTGTATAGTCCATCGTCTATAACACGAGCATACTCAGGCAGTACCTCAATCACGTTCGTGAATTTTTGAAGACTCAAATGAGGATCTGGAGCGATTTCAGCTAAATATGCATCAACAAGCCGTCCAACTTTCAACATTGAGCCTTGACTCGAAGAACTAATGTCTGCTGATTCATATCCATATTCGTCATTCTCTTCCTCTTCCATCCGTTGCACAAAGTGCACCAGAATCCGATGGATAGTGTCAACGTCAAATAATGAGTCACCTGTCTGAACTGACGGTACAAGGAGATCATCGAGTAAAGCCATTTCTAGTCGAGAAGCAATCCGTCTTTCAAGCTCAAGCCTACAGGCTAAGGTAGCATCCACCATGGTTGCAACTCTCAACATCCCAAATAAAAAATTTATTGGAATGGATGTACTCTTCTCTGTAGGCAGCAGAGTTACAAGAGTTTCAACTATAGTCTTCTGGCCATTTTCGATTATGCTAGTATTTGTCCTTGCCGGATTCCAAATTTGGGGTTTCCCAATACCCTTCAGAAATATTTGAGCATAATGCATCAAAGATGCAATAATGCTATCTGTTCGAACGCCGGTATGTCCTAGGGCACAGATCACTCTACGATAAAAATCAATCCTCAATAGCGAGAGATCTTCGATCCACCACTCAATGCATCTATCTTTGAGTTCTAACACTCCACTGTTACAATCTAAACGAGACAAACCCGATACCAACTGCTCTTTACAAGCATTCCTCGCAATAGCATCGATACAGATTTCAGGAATTCCCACTTCCTCAGAAATGGGTAGTAAGTTCTCACAGATGGATAAAACCTCCACGGATTTTTCAATACTTTGGCAAACAACTTCGTTCAGATAGGATTCTGTACGTGAAATAAGGTTTTCTTCACGATAATATTCAGTCATTTCCAAGCACTCTGCAGTGCACCGTAGTTGTGCAACATTTGCAGTTGTGATCTCGAAATTCATTCCATAACAAAACTTAGCTGCAAGCTCAAATGTTTGAGGTCCTCCTGGAAGGTTAGAGAGTTCCAGTTTTGACAGAGTCGAGTCTTTTGCATCTGCCACCAGCTTTCGGATCTTTCCACTCAGAGAAACCAGGGGAAACTATTGTATACCAGAAATAACACAATAAAATTGATAAGTCGTAAAAAATTTAGATACACCGAAGTTATATGGTGAGTGTGAAATTCAAAACTTTTCACTTCGCGTTAAATCCCAGCAACGTGTTTTTTGGATCCACTTGCTCCAAAACACGAGTGTTATTAAAAACGAGCCATGACACGAACTATGATGATGCATGGATACTCAAGAAAAAAAGGCAATGCTATGCTGATTTGGATCTTTAGTAGTACAAACTTTGGCCATGACGTGACATTTAGAAATTACCTTGTGCAGTAGAAACGATTCTCCGTTGACAACTATCGTAATATCACAAGCAACGTCCGAGAAAATGCTGCGTGCAAGAAAACCGAATCATCGGAAATATCATTAGTGAATTAGAAACATGTCTGGAGTCTAGAAAACTTCTGATTTATAATGCAAAACGATCTACCATTACATCAAAAACCAGGAGCCACATTGTTCTTTCACTAATGGAATTATATGATTCAGGAATTAATTTCCGGATGAGTCTAGACAATAAGTCGATAAAAGAACAAAATCATAAAACATAGATTACATAAAAAGATGAAGTTTTCCATTAGATGTAAACTGTTAACATTCACCAAATAGGTAAGATTCAAGTAAAGATGGATAAATCTTTAGATTTTGACAATCGAATACAATTTAAATGAATGCAAGTGATCTTCTCTAACTCCTCTAGATGAATTGATCACCAAAAGAACTTGGTTCAAGTTTTTCATTCACTAAGGGTCCGTTTGGCAAAGCTTTTGAAAAGCCTCAAACTCCTTCCGAGACTTAAAAGGCTGCTTTTGAACATGTTCAATAAATTTCTACAAGTGATTTGTCCTGAAACATGAATCCAGTGGACGAGTTAGTTGAATACCTCCAAATTAAGGACAAGATTGTAACTTGTTTAAAGCTTAACAGTATCATCCAATTTACAATGTCAAGCATGCCAACAATGGATGTTCAGTATTTACAAAGAAGAAGAAAATCAAACTATGAATTCCCTCAAAGAAACCGATGAAAAATGTGAAAACAAAGTGATAATGATGAAAAAAGAGTAAACCCAATACCGGTTAGTAAAAGAGTTACAGAATTTGGGGGTGGTGGCAGGAGAACGGCGGGGCGGCGGCGGCGTAGAGACAAACTCCTCCGACACCATTTTCATATTCCTATTACTCACCCTAATCCCACTGTTTCTCTTTGTCACGTTCAGTCTTGAACAGCATCTAAAATTCCCACTGTAAATGCAAAGAAAAAGCAAAACTTTTACTTATATATATACTGGAATGGGATCGTGATTTACAACAGAATTCACCTTTTTCTCTTTTTGCAGAGCCTTCTTTTGCTTTTCATATCTTTGTCTCGTTCTCGTAAAAATGAAAATGGGTTTATAGCAGTAAAATATTCATATTTTGGTGTGAAAAGACGTGCTAATCTGATAAAAGTTGAGTTCGAAAATTCGAATTCCTGGATTATACGTTACCAGACAGTCAGTCTTACAGCTTTCAGACAGGCTAGCACGCGCAGCTGCTTACGTTAGCATCTTCGAGCTATCTATTATTTTTGTTTTTCGGTTTTTACCGATGATACATCAGAATTTACCTGTTTTGTGCAATAAAGAATTTAGATTTTTTTGAATAATCGTGTATAAATTCTGTCATTTTGTTTAAAGAGAGGTTATGACTTGCATGAGAAGAGCAAAAATTATTCAAGATGAGATAAATGTTATTATGTTAACTGAACTCGATCACACCTGTTAGAGTCTATAGAAGAAGCTCGAAATCAAAATTCAAAAACCTCCCAACTACTCGAAATTGGAAGCAAATGATTTAGCCGTAATATTTAACTTAACACGACATGCTCATTTGTAAAAGTGCGACTATTAAAAAAAAATTGATACATACCCAATAATATTACAAAAATATTTAATCCTGTTTTGTATAACTTTTTTTTTCAAATTCAATTTTTTCAAACTCGTTTTCAATATTCTCTAATAAAATAATTTTAACGTGGACTGATAGTTTTTTTTTACTTTTGAACCATATATTCTCCCTAGGAAAGTCTATTCACAAAATTTATTCTAAAAAATTTACATCAAACAGATGTTAAAATTATTTTTCTCGAAACACTTTTTCCTAATTACACATTTATTCAATAAAGTAATTTTACACGTGAACTTATAATTTTTTGTACTTTTAATAATAAATTAAAAAAATTTCATAAAATTTATTTTAGAAAATCTAAGGCCCTTAGTGATATTAAAAAGAATATTGCTGCTTGAACAAGAGTTTTTGACAGTGTTGTGTTGGCTGCACTTATGTGGTTCTTTTTTTTTAGACTGTCCAATGAATATTTAATGCGTGTTTTTTATTTTTATATTTTGTCATTGATCTGGTTTGTGTTGTAAAATTATATTAAAAATAATTAAATAACAAGATCGATAACATTTTAACTTTTTTTATTTGTTTCGATGGCAAATTTGTGGAGGAGCGGAAAAGAGCCCCATTTCCATCGGGTCAGGAGACAGTGGGGCTCCAAACCCAATAAAGATCCAATTATTAGATGACCGCAGCTTTTTCTTGGATAATGCAAATAATTCCATATATATGTGGATGGGAGTTCGACATTAGATCTTTTTGACCAAGAGAAAACACTTCTGACCCACTTCACTCTCATCAATTCCTGTCACAACTTATTTTTAAAAGACAATAATTGCTTATTTTAAAGGTGTTTTATCTTTTCCAAAATTATTGACCCGTCTTAAAGTTTATCTTGCACAATAAATTTATATTTCATAATCTAATTTCAGAAAAGAAAAGAAAATTCTAAGTAACTTTATAAAAAAAAAAAATCTCTAGTTTTCATCCTCTTATAAATATCCCTTTCCGCATTCAAGTTTAGTCCCTCACAAAAATCTGAGCAATCAAAGTTTTCTATGTAATGTTGTCTTTACTTTTATCAAATACTTCCTATCAAAATAATCTCACTGTCGTTTCCTAAATACTTCTATAAAGAAGTTATATTATCAATGCATTTTGTTGACATTCGAACTCTGATATAATAAAAACAGTTTGCTAACCCCACCCCAGTTAAATGTGAATTCGATCCTTACTCCAAGGTCGGACAATCCAGCCGTTATCTCAGAAAAACATCATGATTACCCCTTGTCACATCACCCTATCAATCAAATACACTTGACACAGGTGACATTATCACCGTCCGGAACAACCAATCCTAAGTCCTCAACCTCCAGCCCCTTGCAGGTCATCATTACCTGGGGAAAATATTGACACATGGCTACCGGCCTCATCGACCGATCATATGAGAATCCGACGACCTGAGTTCCGAGTTCGGTACTGTTGCTGATTTGATGTAATGTCGACTGAAATTATGTATAAATAGTTGAATAAGACTCTTGTAAAGGGCAAGTGATTTCATACAACAATTCAAGACATAATTACACTCTTTAAACATATTTCGTGGTCTTTTTTCAACAATAAATCGCCATTTTTTTCTTAAAGTTAGCTTAACATTACCCTTGTTAATTTTGACGTCAACAGTTTGGTGCTAGAATGAGGGCCCTAATTGTGAAAAATAGTTCCATTCTCTCCACAAAATCCGAGAGCCATGAGTCATAGCTCAAGTTCCAGAAATTCATTTCACACCCACCCTCATGAAACGAATACACCACCAAATTCTCTACGACGGCAGGACCCTCAAACGATCGCCATGAGGGAAACCTGTACCAGCCATCAACGCAACTTCCTGTGAGTGCATAAGGCAAACGTATGGAAATTCGAGCTCATTCTTCTAGACCCGCGGACCAGGATCGAAGGAGGAGAACCCATCGAAAAACTAAAAAGAGTTCAAGTCTGTGCCAAGGACCCAACAAAGGAGCTCAAAGTCAGGCGTGAGCTACAGCCATCCACCCGAAACGAAATTGTGGCCTTCCTTAGACAAAACCTTGATGTCTTCGCCTGGAATCACGGGGACATGAGAGGAATAGACCCCAACATCGCATGCCACAAATTACAGGTAGATCCTTCAGTTCGGCTAAAGCAGCAAAAACGATGACCTCTGAACCTTGAAAGATATGAAACACTCAATAAGAAGGTGCAAAACCTGTTGCATAACGGTTTCCTCCGTGAGGCCAAATACCCGAAGTGGGTTCCAAATTCGGTCCTTGTGAAAAAACACAACGAAGATTGGAGGGTATGCATAGATTTCACCGACCTCAACAAAGCATGCCCAAAAGACAGTTTTTCTTTGTCAAGAATAGATCAAATGGTGGACGCCACTTTCGGACACGATCTACTCAGCTTCATGGACGTGTATTTCGGATATAACCAAATACCGATGTATGGCCCAGATCAAGAACATACCTCGTTTGTAACTAACCTAGGTCTTTACTGCTATAGAGTAATGTCATTTGGTCCCAAAAACGCTGGTGCGACCTACCAACGACTAGTGAATTCCATGTTTTCCCAACAGATCAAATGGAAGTGTATGTTAACGATATGCTGGTCAAAATTATCAAGGCCAAGGATCACTGTCAGCACCTGACCGAGATGTTGGATATACTGAGGAAGTATGGAATAAAGATGAACCCAAGGAAATGTGCTTTCGGGGTCAGCTCTGGAAGATTCCTAGGTTACATTGTGAATAACCGAGGAATCGAGGCAAATCCTGAAAAAATACAAGCTGTCATCCAAATAAGGCCTCCAACTAAACCTAGAGAGGTACAAAGTTTAACCGGAAGGATTGCCGCTCTCAGCCGGTTCGTCTCCAAGTCTACGGACCGTTGCAAACCCTTCTTTGACACGTTATGAGGAAGAAAGAAGTTCGAGTGGACCAAAGAATGCCAGGATGCCTTTAACGAGCTAAAGAGACAACTAGCTCAGCCTCCGTTGCTTTCAAAACCTAAGGTCGGTGAGGCCCTGAAGCTTTATTTATCTGTTTCAGAACACGCCATTAGTGCGGTTCTAACCCGATAAGAGAACGGTGTTCAACACCCAGTCTATTACGTAAACAAGGCACTTCACGAAGCCGAGCTCAGATATTCACCTGTAGATAAACTGGCATTTACCCTGCTGATGGCCGCGCGAAAACTAAGGCCATATTTCTTGGAACACCCCATTGAGGTCCTCATCAACTCTCCATTAAGGCAAACACTACAAAGACCCGACATTTCAGGTCAGATGGTAAAATGGGCAGTCGAGCTCGGGCAATTCGACATCAAATACACGCCACGTTCCTCCATCAAGGGCCAAGCACTCGTCGACTTTGTCTCTGAGTTGTGCAACGTCCGAATCGAGGAACTACAAGAAGAAACCCTATGGAGACTTTATATCGACAGTTCATCCATCGGAGAAAGATCTGGGGCAGGCGTCATATTAATCAGCCCTGAACATCGCATATTCTGCGAAGTCTTGCCATTTAACTTTAAAGCCTCAAACAATGAGGCAGAGTACGTAGCTCTCATTGCTGGCACAAGGATGGCCTCAGGGTTAGGGATTTCTGACCTGATCATACACAACGACTCTCAACTAGTCGTAAATCAGGTCAACGGTATATATATGGCGAAAGAAGTAAGAATTGACAACTATCTACAAGTTGTATGAAAAGAACTTGAAAGGTTCAACACCACCGAATTCAAGCAAATTCCTCGATCGCAGAACGGTCACGCCGACGCACTGGCCCGGCTAGCCACCATTGAGGGAATTAAAGAATTCGATAGCATTCCCGTGGGAAGAATATCCCTACCGTCTACCGAGCTGGAGAAAGTGGTCCATATGATGATAGATCCCAAACCAACCTGGCAGGATGAGATCATCACCTACCTAAAAATCGGGAAATGTCCTGAAAATTTTACAGAGGCTAGAAAGCTTCGAATCAGGTCGGTCAGGTATATACTCATTGATGATGTACTATATAAACGGATATATCTACACCTTTGTTAAGGTGTTTAAATGAAGAAGAAGCTCAGCATGCCCTGCAAGACGTTCACGAAGGAATCTTACAAAGCCTTGCTCCATACGCAGGCCGATCTAAGGCTGTAGTGTTACCCTTAGTGGGCATTCCTCCTAAGAAATCTTACAAAGCCTTGTTACATACGCAGGCCGATCTAAAGCTGTACGTATTATCCTTAGTGGACATTCCTCCTAAGGAATCTTACAAAACCCTGCTACATACGTAAGCCGATCTAAGGCTGTACGTGTTACCCTTAGTGGATATTCCTCCTAAGGAATCTTACAAAGCCCTGCTCCATACGCATACTGATCTAAGGGCGTAAGTGCTGCGACCCTTAGTGGACATTCCTCCTAAAAAATCTTACAAAGCCCTCCTACATACCCAGGCCGATCTAAGGC